ATGCTACCTTACAGCACCTTTGATTGCGAATGTCTTATGGGAAGTGTCCATTCTAAGTTGAACAGGGATGGAAGAATCTGGTGTTTAACTTGTTATGGTAAATTAAGGTCCAGTAGGTGTTGTGATCTCAAGCTAGAGATTTACACACTTGAGGAAAAAAAAGAGACCAGTTCTGTCATGACATATTTTCAGACCAAAATCCCATATGGTTTTCAATCATGGAATTGTTTTTCGTAATCCTTGTATTAGGGTTAAAATTTATTTTTATTATGTTAAAAGCTGGTTTTTTTTGTTCATAGGAAAATCTGGAAGTAGAATGTCTAGACTTTGAATTATATTAAATCCACTGCACTTTATCCAAGGATTATTTATTTAGGGTTATTTATACGTAAGTACCATTAATATGTTGAGTAGTTCATTGTTGATCATCAGGGACATGACAGTCAGCTGTAACTTGAGGGTGAACATAGCATTTATTATGTCTGTCTTGCTTGAGTGTACTGGTATTTTAATTATAGCAGTTGTTCTTAGTTATCGTTGCATTCACAACATTACTTCTGGACATGTTGACTGGACAAGGTGTCAAATTAAGATGTATTTAATATGCCTACTGGATTTTGATACTGTACTAAAGTAGAAAGCCTGATGCAATGTTTTAGTGAAAAGTGCAGATCATAGTCTCTGTTGCGGTTTAATGGCAGAGTTGCAAACAGTAACATAGAAGGCCAGGGCTTTTTCCAGATATTTTCCTAATGTGGAATGTTAGGATTAAGGCTTGGTAGCGTATTTAGAAGTTAAAAGATTTTTCCCCCACATTCTCCATATTTTTGTATATAAATCAAATCTAGGAAAAAACAACCAATGACCCTCACTTTGTGAAATAATACCTTCAAAAACTTACTCTACTATTGACTGAAATGAAAAGGCATAGTAAAAAAAATGGTGCACTGATTTACTTCAGTTATTATCCCCTGATAAGGATTCATCATTGTCTTCAAATGTAAAGATCTTTATGTTATATAGATATATATATTTAAAATATATCTGTTTATATAAAAAGCAGAGTGCAAATGGCATAAATGTTAATCGACATTAACAACTTCATCTCTGACGTACCCCCTCTTACTATGATGATATTCCATATTGAGACTGTATCTCCTAAGCGTGCTTCTGGCAGTAAATTCAAGAAAAGATTGTTTGTCATAGGGAAAATAGCTTTCTTTCATTGTGATGCTTAATAACTCCTTTTTGTAAGGGCAAGAGAAATAGAGATACATGACCTGCAACACCATGTTGTTTGCTTCTCTTTGCCATTTCTTTCTTCTCCTAGTAACAGATCCATTCCTTTTCTGATCAGAGAAGTTTTACGTCTGGAAATCTCCAAGTATTTACTGTTTGTGAGTTGATCTGAAGTTTAATATTCCAGTGCTTATAATTGAGTTTTGGTGGCCTTTGCTTGATTGCAGATGAACATGAAAACACTGATATATAATGTCACTTTCCCGGGAACTTTTATCTCATCACACTCACTTTCCAAGTTTTCTTAGTGACAATTCTAAACTTTGTTGAATTACAAAACCTTCTCATTTGTGGACACTTGCAATAGTTCTATATGAAACAGGGCACTTAAGCAAATCTTGCTCTGTGGGAAGAATATATTTAGCATTTGTTATTTCAAATCTGTTTTTTCTCTGTTGTCGTCTTATGCCATTTGCATTTTGCAGTATTAGAGACAGGATCCACTGCTCCTGTTCGTCTCACATGACTTAAAGTGGGATAGTGTCTAAGACTTCTCTTGCGGAACACCTGCTTCCCAGTAGTCTCAGTGGCAAATCTGTTCCTGGGAACATTATTACGAGCAACTGACCGGTAGCATGAATAATGTTTGCCTAGTCTAGTTCTGAAGCAAGAAGTTAATTTTTCCCAGAGATAAAGTAGTTGATAAGTAGGATTGTGATAATCTTGCCAAAATCTGCTGTCCATAAATTCAGACATCTGAATTAATTGCCTAGGTTCCTGATACAGTAAATAGTGAAAAAGATGCATTGATTGAGGATAGATCTTTCAGTTCTCAGGCAACAGAGGCCACTTTTGGAGAGTAATTACTGCTAGCTTTCATTTATCCTTAATTTCACTGGGATTCAGAACAACTAGTTAAAATTACATGTTTTACATGGGTGATGTAAAATGAAGAGGAATCTTGACTCTTGTTCATAATTTTTAAATAAAACTTATTTTTTATTGAAAACCATTATAAATATCCATATATTTCTTACACACTGGCACAAACTCATCTTTGGACTGCTTACAGAGAGACTGAGATTTTTTTTTTCTAGAAAGTCAGCTATTGCAAGCACAGATTTTTTTGTAATAGCCCACAGTTAATTTTGTATAATCTTTAGAGGTAGAAGGTAAGTTACACAGTTAAAAGATGTGCACAGGAGAAACAGTTGCTTATGCAAGCGCAAGGGCACTTACATGTATTTTGGGCATACAGGCTACAAAGATTAGGTGAAACAAAATAACATAAAAAAGAGCAACAGTAAAATCACTGGAAATGATATCTTAAGTTGTTTTATTGGCAATTATTAATGTAATAGTGCATAAGAAATTGTTTCTATAAGTTAGAAAAACAGGATGTCACCAGCCATCAATGTCAAGTGGGAGTCTCAGTCTGTGTTACATAGTAAACTTGTTATTTTGGAACAGTGAAGACTTGAAAATTTACAGTACATAACAGCTGCTTGAAGCCAGACTTTTTAAGGTGTGGCATTTTGATATACAGTCGTACTGTTGCCCTCTACTGGCATCTGCTAAAAGCTTTTAAGACCATACTCATCAATACCATGGTCTCCATGGCTAAGTTCTGAAGGATGCAGTTAATCCATTTCAGGCAAACTCAAAATACACCATCATTTGAAAGCAAAAGTTTTTCTCTTTAAGGAAACTCGGGGACTGGGGGGAGATGGAGGAGGGGCACAACTCCTACCTGTCAACACTCATCTGCTTACAAACTGCTGAAAGCTTTAGCTTCTGCATTCAAAAGCCCTAAAACATAAAGATGTCAGCTGAATTAGTTAAATATTTGAGTACTGACAACTGTTGGAGTGTTTGAATTTTGAAAGCATGGATTAAAGACATCAAGGGTCATGAGAGAGTGTCGTATTTCAAACTGCTTAGTGAAAACACAGCTATAACACAGTGATTGTTGCTGGTGTTCCAAAAAAAAAAAAAAAGCCAAATTCATACAACTGTGCTTTCTGAGAGATGGCAGAATACAAGAGAGAAAAATATTTGTATTTTGCAAGTACTTTTCTACACAGTGTCTTGCTACTGTCATTAACTGAGCTGTCTAAACAGGAGTAAAAGACACAAAAGAGAAAGATAGTTTATCTACTAAATAGGGTGAGTTTTTTTTCTTTAGATGATTATTTAACTAAGATGCTTAATCTCAGCTGCCCTCAAATCTCTACACAACGTGGGACTATTTGGAGATTTTATGTGCAACAGTGACTATCAGTACTGTACTGTATTTGGAGTCAGTCCCTCTGAAGAGCTCTTTCTGTAAGCTGTCTTCCATTAAATACTTTTTGTGATCCTTTGACTTCTTGTTCTGAAAAAATAAGACATCCAGTATCTTCCCTCTGGGCAGTAATAGAGGAATACCTCATGTGGAGAAAAGATGAGTTGGGATGGGGCTTCCTTCTGGACAGTCATAGAGGAATACCTCATGTGGAGAAAAGATGAGTTGGGATGAGGCTTCCTTCCCTCAAGTCAAGATGTCATTAGGCACTGTGGAGCTTTAAATGCTTTTTTTCTGTTACTGCCACTGTCTTGCACTCTGGTCTTTGATATGTCAGTGAAATATGCGGGGGAGGGGGCGGGAATTAATTATAAAATGTTATTTATTCTTACTTACCTATTATCCAGGATTGAGTATGAGTGTTATTAATTGTATGCCATTTGTACTATGTTTAATCTCTCTATACATACAAAGCTTGTTTTGTGAGTGCAAAGCAGTGCGTTAACTTAGTGGAATAGGCTTTGTTTAACTCATATTTTCAAATAAAGGTTTGTTACACCTTCAACATTATGATTGTGTATAACAAATTCCATTTTATTAATAGAAAAATAGTTATTTTGTCCTTAGTTTGTTGAACTGTGGTTTTGTTCTAGAAACAGCCTAATTATTTGCTTTTAAAGTGTTGTGTACAGGTAGAGGAGGCAATAGACTCAGATTCCACTATGTTGCCTAGAGAGTTGAAAATTAAAATGCCCTTAGGGAATGATAAAGCCTTATTACTTCTTCCAAATTATGGAGTTGGTTTAGAAACTTTTCACTTTCTGATTCTGAACAGCTCAGTATGCAGATATCATTAATGTGAGTTTGGGAAAATTGACGCTAAATGACACCAGTTTAAGGAAGCATTAAACAAAATACCTTTAAGATACAGGGTGCTGCAAGGAAGATGCTAAGAACGTTATGTTTCCATTTCAGTCATAAATTGTGATACAAAAATTGCAGAGACTTTTGATTAACTAGGTTCTAACACAGTTCAGATACAGCATTAAAAAATAGTAGATTTTTTATTTCATTGGGATCCTGACACCCAGAGGACTCTAATAATGACCATATGTGAAACGGAAGAAATATTTGGGAGCAGTTAATGTCTGAACATAAAAGTGACCACGTGTAAATCACTGTAGAATGTCATTTGAGCAAGGGCAGTAGGTGTTGGTTTTGTTGGTTTTTGCTTTTTTTCTTTTTACCCAAGGCTCTCTGTGTGTATCCATATATTCTAGAAAAAAATTAAGCAGCAAATAGGAATATTTTGACCCAGCCCTGTATCCTGCTCAGGTGGACCTTTATTGTAATTTTCATTACACTTAGATCTTTTCTTGTTTGAACTGAGTGTGAACACAAGGCCAGAAAAAAGTACCTCAGTTTGACAAATAACCGAGGCCATATTTATGGACTCTGATGTGTTTCTTGTTTTCAGGTGAGCGTCCTTACCAGTGTCCTTACTGTGACAAGGCTTTCAGCAAGAATGATGGATTGAAGATGCATATTCGCACCCACACAAGGGTAAGTGTAGCTTAGTTTTTATGGTTACTTGAGGATTGTCTGTGAATCATGTAGCTAAAAGTAAATAATTTCTGTTTTTTGTAGAGATAGGGCTGTACCAACCAAGATGTTTTATACTTACAAGTGTATCATAAGAGGCAAAGATTTAAGTAATTAACTGTTTAATTATAATTACAACTCCCTTACTGACCTTCTGTTTTTTCTGTCTTTGATTTCTTGCATGTTGAATAATATCAGTACAAACTTCTTCCTTCAACCTGTGTTTTTTATAGATCTAATATAATGTTTGTGATTGTTTACTGAGTAAACAATTCTGTAAAGTTCTTGAAACTTCAGTATCCAGTGTTTTGATTCTTGCCATATCTTTAAAATCCAGTCACTGTGAGCTTTTTAGAGCTTGTACTTTTCTAATGGATGGCAAATACTAAGCTACATATTTACTGTATTTAAATTTTATTTAACTGAAGGCAAAATAAAAGGCAAATCGCAGATGTCTCCAGGATTATTTTTGAACCTTTAGTCTCAGCACAGAGGTTCCCTGTTTTAAGGAAAAGCATTGTAATGTATATATATTCCTAGAGGATAAAAGTGAGATCTTGGCCCCACTCAGCCAGCATAGAGATGGATAGCTGTCTTCAATCAGCCAGATGTGAATTCCCTTAGTAAAGGGAGATGTCCAGGTGAAGTTAAGCTGGTCTAGCATTCCATATGCTACGTGCCTCTGGTCTCCTCATCCACCATAAGAAAACAAACAAAAAGTTGAAAGAAACCTGTAGCTTTTACTAGTAATCCCTTGGGAGCTGTTACTGCTTAAAGGAGTCAAGGCAGTCTTGAGGCCAAACAGTGAAAGTTTATCTGTTAGGGAACAGGAAGGATGATAGTTAATTTACTGGTCTCCATATTCAAATCTGTGCACAGAATAGTTTTCTAAATAAGTGAAGATACGCTCAAAACTGTTTGCTTAATTTTCTACCATTCTGCATAGGACTTGAGGGTATTAACTGGAGGTGTTAGATAAAGTTTTAGCCCAAACTTTAGCTTAGAAGTAGTTTGTGCATTGCTTCCTGGTGGTTCATTGTGAGCAGACTAGTCCTATATTATATGTTGTTTCTTCTTCTTTGCAGCTATTTAAATAACTTTAAAAAGTGCTATAAAGTACTTTTCTGTTGTTACTGTCCTGTATTACTGGTTTTGCACCAGAAGAAATTTCATTACTGTGTGTGTTCTACAAGGCTCTGAGTGGGAGGAGTAGTAAACAAGACCTGCTCTGAAATGGTGCGAGTTTATTTTTTCTCTGATTTGTCATAGTGTTGGAATAAAATCAACAAATCCTATTATTTACCAGAGCAGTTGTGTGCTTGGCAGGAATATGAAGATTTATTTAATGTTTGTAGTAGGTTGATGCTTGTCAGGAATGTAGTGGTTGACATGCAGGATTTCATTACGAGACATTAAAAATTCAGAATTCATTCTTGCGAGTTTGGTGTTGCTTATGCATAATTTTTAACTTAGTAAGAATGTTGAGAAAAAAAGAAAAATCTACAAAGCTATCATACAGGATCAGGAAACAAAACCAGCCCTTTCAGTAGAGAAACAGCTACTGAGTGGGTAGGTTCTGTAATACTTTTGTAAGGTTGCCTGCCTTGAAGTTTCTTTGAACACAAAAGTGCTAGCTAAAGGTGAAATCTCCGCACTGTGAGGATGTTGGCTATGCCTTTTCCTACCTTTTCCTACGTAGAAATTTTATTTTTAAATTTATTCTTGCATGCAAAATAATTATTCAAAGAAAATTAACAAGATACGTAAACCAAGTATGCACTTTTGTGTCAGCTGAGCCTAGCAATGTGGAAATAACATCATCACAGCACTCTTCCTCAAGGGCTATTCTCATGTAAATATTTTGGAAAAAGAGTTTGGTCTTTTAGTCAGACAAATTGTGAAGTAGCGTAAAAGTAATAATATGACATTCAACAAGGGAAATGTCATTGTAGTGATTAAATCTAGATGTATTTTACCAGTGGGATTAAATGCCAAACCTGACCCTGTGGATCACGGAGGGCTGCTGGAAAAATCGTTTTAGAAAGTTGATTAAGGTCTGGCAGCTGCTAAACTGAGTACAGCCTGGTGGCCACAGGTGTCAGCTCACTCTGGAGTAAACAGAGAAGGTAAGCCAAAACCCATAGTGACAATGTAAGGAGTAAAAAATACCAACCACCTAATATTAAAATGTCACCTGAGCACTGATTTGTTTCTATGAAAGTAAATGTGTTTGGTGTTTATTTTTTTTTTTCCTTAAGAAGAAATACAACGGCATAACAAAACTGTGCATAAATGAGAAACTCATTGAAGTTCTTGATGAATCAATTTACAAGCCATGTCAGCTTTGAGGAAGTACATGCATACTTCTGACCTTCACAGAGCAGTAAACTTCAGCTCTTTCCTAAGGCTTTATTCAGTGCCTGACATAATAACATACAATTTGAGCTTAAATATGTAGATAAATTATTGTATGTTACTGCAATATAACTGTTAATATTTGGAAATATGATCATTGATAGGTGCCCAGAGTTGTTGTCACACAAATTGATGTTTTCATTACTTCCGATAATGGTACTTTAGTTACAGTTTATTTCAGTTAAATACATGGCAGTGATGGAAAACAGAAAGAGTAGAAGCATTTGCAAATGGTTTTTCATCACATGGTTTGAATATTTCATATTTTTAGCTTGAAAGTATAAACGATACATGTAATTTTTATAGCTTGTTTAAAAACCCAATTTCTGGTGGTTGAAACGCTTCTGGCTGTAATGCTCAAATTGTATGTTGCCAAGATAATATTTTAAACATAGAGAAATTAGAGAAATTGTAGGGATAGTACAAGAGGTAACGGGTTAAAACTTAAACAAGGGAAGTTCAGGTTAGGTATAAGGAAGAAGTTCTTTACTGTGAGGGTGCTGAGGCACTGACACAGATTGCACAAGGAAGTGGTAAATGCTCCATCCCTGTCAGTGTTCAAGGCCAGGCTGAACAGAGCCTTGGGTGACATGATCTGCCCATGGCAGAGGGTTGGAACTGGATGATCTTAAGGTCTCTTCCAACCCTAACTATTCTATGAGTCTGTGGTCTGCTGTCACAAAAATGACTTCAGTATAAAGATAGCCTTAGAAGCTAAGGACCTAAGGCCTGATGCAGTATATGCAAGAATTAGTGTCCTGATTTTGGCTGGGATAGAATTTATTTTTCTCCTAGTAGCTGGTTTTATGTTTTCTTCCCTTGTTATTTCCCTTGTCATTATTATCAATATTAGTAGTAGTAGTTTTGTATTATACTTTAGTTATTGGACTGTTAGTATCTCAGCCCATGGGGTTTACAGTTCTTTTGATTCTCCTCCCCATCCTGCCTGGGGAAGGGGGAAGTGGTGGATGAGCTAGCGGCTGCGTGGTGCTAAGATACCAGATGGGTTTAAAACATGACAGCCAACCTTGAGTTAATTCTGAGTTTTATTTGTGAATTTCATGGGAATAGTTATAAGTCACAATAGGTATGGAAGCTAGGCAGTCTCCTGTAGAGATTCTTGTCTTGAAGTCAGTGTTTCAGCTTGCTGCTGGGACAGTACAAAAAGAAAACTGTCGATATCCAGATCCTGAGTTAAACAGCCTTTTGAAAGCACTCATTTGGAACTTTAAACAACACCCTCTATTCTTTTTTTAAGCTCAGAAGAATATTAAAATAAAGTACTGGAAAAAAGATGCAAGAACAGTATTGACGATTGTGACATAATTTCCCTTGTTCTGTTTCCCAGGAGATATTTGGGCTTCAGAAAGTTTTAACAAAGGTCATGTGTTCTAGAAACATCATATTATGCTGTGGCCCTCCCCAATAATATTGGGTACTAAATATAGTCCTCTATGCACATGACAGTGCGTAATGAAACAAGATGAGGTGTTGATTGAATTTTGAATTTTTTTCAATATTTCCCTATTGGTGCGACATGAGTGAGTTCCCAAGCATCTCTCTGAGGATGATAACTTTGACAGTGCTCTGGTTTCCTTGCCTGTGGAATCTGTGTGTGTGTACAGAATACAGAAGGTTTTAATCCCACTGCAGCTATATTTTAACACCTTTTTTTTTTTTTTTTTTTTGCAATGTTGACTGATGATCACCTTTTACTCATAGATTGAATATGTTTTGGGGTGGTTTTTTTTGTTCTTTTTCCAAGAGCAGATCAGCATCTGTTGAATATTCATCATGGCTGATTTAAATAAACCCTCCATCACTAAATCTTAGGAAGATTAGTTATTTCAGTGGTTTAAAAAACTCCAGGGAAACAATCTTTAAAGACTGTAGGTAGCAAATAGGTAGAACTACTGTGGAAAATGGGAAGTTAATGGTTTTGTAAGGTCCAACTAATTGCATATGCTACAACTTTTGAACAAATAATCCTTTTTTTTTCTTCTGGCAGCATTTCAGTTAAGATGTGTGGCTTTATTTTCATTACAAGCTTTATTGCAAGAATTTCAGATAGTATTTTTTCAAAGCTCCCAAAACTGAATTGAGAACTTTTTGAACAAAACCATCAGTCATTTCTAATAAAAGTGACTTTTTATGTACATTTGCCAAATCCTGTCTGAATTGTTTCAGCAGGAATGTTTCTGTGCCTGTTCTAGTTATTGGAAATATTTTTTTAAAGGCTTTTACTTCTAAAGTGAGGAAACGTACTTGTAAAGTGATTGTTTATTGAGTTTTAATCATTGTAAGATTCAAGTCCCTACTATTTGTGTAGGGTTGTAAATTCTCATCAGCCTTTGTCTTCCTGTGTCAACATTATTTTAGTAATTTAATGCAAGTCTTAGTAGGCAAGTCTTTAATGCAAGTTTAAGTAGGCCTCTGTCTGTGGGTGAGCCACTTGCTGTAACTTCCAATCCCCTCCCAATTACTAAGAAAGCATCTTGTTAGTTCTTGCCCATTTTTCACACTGAAATATGAAACTGGACTCCATT